CAAGGCGTTTCCGGCGGAAGTTCAGAAACCGGGAATTAGGGGGATTCGCTGCACCTGTTCCCGGCTTCTTCCGGTCTGCCGTGACCTTCAGCGGGGACGCTTGACTTCCGTTTCCGTGTCCACCCTTTCCGTTTTGGATGGCAGCCTTTGACCTTGTCCGGAACGGTTGCCTGCCAAGTGGTGGCTGGTCCACAACCGCCTCCATCCTGACAGTAAGTCAGTGTCAGTAGCTTTGATTTGCCACCATCCAGCATCGAGCATCCTGTATCCTGCATCCTGGGTCCCAGGTCCTAGGTCCTGGGCCGGAGGATACTTTTTGATTTATGCGGCCTTTTGCATATGTCGCTGCTGCCGCCGCACGGAGGACACTGTCACGTCGCAACCTCTGCCAAGATATACTCGAAGGATGTGTCGTAGGGGCAACGAGGGGAAAAGGACAAAAAGGATATAGGCAGATAGGCCAGACAGGAGCAGACATTTTGGGGGCTGTGGCTGTGACTGTGACTGCCGCTGTAAGCGCTTATTTATGGCCTCCATCCACAACTCAGTTTCAGTTACAGTTTCCGTCTCATCGTTTTCTCTGCCAAGAAATTCGGGAGGTCCTGGCAGGTCCTGGCGCGGGTAGCAGCTGGAGTATTCTATTATGAGAATGTGCGTGCGTCTCGTAAACAACAAAACTATTATAATAAACAAACTTCCAACCCATGCACTGAACGAAAAACTCGACAAGTTAACAACTCTTTCAATTAAAATCAAATAAAAAGCGAGGTCCTCGCAGCGAGAGTTGATCCTTTCCGGGGAATACTATATGCAATTTTCCGCATTTTCCTCTTAGCCGGGAAAATGAAAGCAAAACATTTTGTTGCCATGCAGTTGCCAGCAAAAGGAAAGGGAAACTTCATGTCACTTTCGCGCCGGAGAAACTTGCGGCGCGGCAGTGATGTTTTCTTTTTATAGTCCCGTCAACAAGGACACCCAGTCCCAGTCCCGGCAAACTGACACGACCAACTGACGTCACAATGCCCCCCAAACTGTGCTAAGGACCCAGGACGACAGCAAATCACAAACGCCTCCCAGAAACAGCGAGTGTGGGAAGTTAAAATCGTAAAATTAATTGATAAGGCCATTAGGACGACGGGTGGCGGTGTGGCATTAAAAATTAAAACAAAAACAAAAAAAAAAAACAGGTGGCAGGGGGGAAGGGTATCCAAGGATGAAGAATGATGCGGCGAAAGAGCCAGGGAGCCAGGGAGCCAGAAACCCAGAGAGGACGAAGGAGGCAAGGACTCCCAATTGCAGTTGAGACTCTTTGTCAGGCTGATAAATGACATGTTATTGAGTGACGTTGAGCTGCTTGCCGGATCTAGGATGACAAGTGCATTGTTGGCAGTTTGAGAGTCACTGGAGGAGGCGGGGGATGGAGCTATTATTATCCTGGAAGTGACTTGAAAAAAGCCAGAGTTCTGCTTTGATAGACATACAGTTTCTACAACACCTTGTTCCCCAAAGCAACTTAAACTACAGACCTAAGTCCCCAGAGTCTGGCCAAGGATGCCCCTGAAAGGACCCTGTTGCATTCCCCCCCCCCAGACATTTGTTTGCCCTCCCTAATAACCGTTTTACCCCCAAAATCCTTTGGCTGTTTGCTCGTCTGATTGCCGGGAATGCACAAAATGCAAACAATTGCTCAAAGACAGCAGAATATTTTCCGTTCAATACATTATAGTATAGACGGCAGGAAGGATGTGCCCGGAAGGATGGGAATGGGAATGGGTATTCGGTATTGGGAACAGGATGAAGACCGGGAAGGACAGGGAAGGAGATGACGACGGATACACGTCACACCCGAAAGTGAAATAATGAATGTTTAGCTAAAACGGCGACGACAAACAAGAAAAATGAGAGTCAGTGTTATGGGAAATCTTTCCGAAATCCTTTTCCATATCCTGTTAAAGGGTATATGAAGGGGGTATATCTGTACCTTGAAGACCAATGTAACTAACTAGGGTTTTTAGAAAAAGAGCAAGAATCAGCCCTAAAGATTCTAGTCTTATTATTTTATAGCAAGTACTGCTGGGTACCTCATACTTTCCACACCCATTTTAGTTGCACTTTCCCAATGACCCTTTGGAAGGGTATTAAAACCCAGCGCCAAATTATTTGTTGGACTCGTGCTGTTTTGTTGTTTGGCTTTTTACGTTATTTTTTTTGTGGCTTTTACTGCTGCTGGCCATGTGGAAAAGTTATGAGGCGCCGCGAGACCCAAAACACACGCTCTCGCACACATGCACACGCAGTCGAAGGAAAAAAGGACTCAGGCCTCAAGGATTTGACGCTCTGTTGCCTGCAAAAAAAAAAACGACAAAAAAATAAATGGGGGGGTAGGGGAAAGAAAAATGAGCAGACATCCTACTGGTCTTAAATCCCATTTTCCTACAATTTCCCAATAAATTTGTGTTTATCCACAAACACCAGAATCTTTCACAAAATCAGTGATTGAAATGAATATGAATCTGGAAATGGAACTGGAAATCTGAGAATCTGGGAACCTGATGTTTATTTTTTGGTCAATAAAGTGCCAAACTGAATGGGTTGAATAGGCCGGGATGGGATGATGTCCTGCTGGGCAGCCATTAAACCAAAAACCAAAACCAAATTCGGCTTCGAAAAAGGATGATTTCAATTAAATTCTATTAAATTTCTAAAAGGAGAGCATCTTTAAGAGCATCTGGCAGTCGCTTTGGTTCGTCCCTTCCTAGTAACACTATTATTGGTATTTGATGGGTTTGGTGGCTTCGCTGCTATGACATGGCTCCCTCTGGCTTGATTTGGTTTGGTTGCGGTCTCATTTCGCCCTCTGTGGCGGCGGGTCACTGGGCGTAATTAAAGCCCCGCCCTGCTCTGTCAGTAGTGGGCTTTAATTTATGCTGATGCTGCACGCACCGAGAGCCAGAGAACTCATTAGTGTATGTACTAGCTGGGTGTTGCCGCATTAATAAGGCCTTCAGAAGAAAAGGCAGAAAAACACAATGCAAAAGGGCATACATACATACATGGGAAGGTAATTAAACACTGCATGCCAGGCACTTGATTTTAATTTGATTTTATTCCGGGAACCGGAAGCGGATGCGCTAAATGGCTTTAAATGGCAATCCATTCCCCGATTTTAATCATTAATTCACAACAAAAGACACTCTGGAGTCAAAGCAGCATAAATGCTCTTAAAATATTTACACAATTTCGTGTTTCAGTTGCCTCGAATTACGCTCTCCGAGCTACCATAGCTGCCAGATACAGATACTTTTACATCTGACTCTGACCAGCTGACCTCCAATCTCCAACCTCCAACCTTTCTGGCATATTCAATTTCAATTTCCATTTACATTTTCCATTTAAATGCATAAAATCCAAGCTGAAATTGTGCATTAAAGTTTTGGTTTGGGGCCCATCTCTCACCTGGATTTCACCCAACCCGCACCCTGTTCGGACCAAAAATTGGTATCTAGGTCAGGCCCAAAAAGCTTTATGTTATGCTGCTGCTGCTTGTTGCACGGATTCTGCCCTTTTTTTTGCCTCATCCCGGTTTACTGGTTTTGTGTTGCAATAAATTGTTAAAAATTACCCTCCAACCATGGGTCCTGGGTCCTTAAACTATGAGATTTTTATGAACTTGGGAATTGGGGCCAGAGTGGAAAAGGGGTTATGATTTAGGAAAGGGCTTGATCCGAAAGCCTTTTAAAATAATAGAATCATATAGATACAAGGTCGTCCTATGATTCATCTTCTTTATATATTGTTTCTATAGTTTTATCTAAGATACTTCCACAACTATGTATTTTATTCAAACTCGTAGCTTCCTCCATTCAGCAACTATCGGACCGGACCGACCCTGAGTGGGAATCAAGTGGTCTGGGAGGGGGTCAGTGGAAATCAATGCATTTCAGCTGATGACGTTAATCACTTTGAAATGCGGTCACTGGCAGGGTTTTATCTGGCTGTCCGAGTGGAGGGGGAGGGGGCGTGGCTAATTGCAACTGTGGCGCATAAATCTGCAACGAATCTGACACAAATTGTCTTTTTCTCTTGTTTTCTGGGCGGCGTGGGTGGTTGGTTGGACAGTGGAAATGAGATAATGTTTCTAGTGGAAAGTTAAATGAAAAGCCGGATGGGGGGCCACGCCTCCTTCTTGCGTAGTGCTTCCGCGACAGCGCCCCCAAAAGCATACAGTTTCAAAATGCAAAAAGGCAGTCAAGCTGAAGAGAAAGGCCAAAGTCAAAGCCAGAGCCAAAGTCAAACAAAAAAAAAGGCCAAGAACTAAACAAATAAAAATGCCATAAGACAGGGAGGCGCATCCGAAAAGGGGGCGTGGCAGGCAGGAGCAGGACGTGCACAGCCTGCAGATGCTGTCATGCAAACAGAAATGATGTCAACAGAAAAAAAGTGTCTGCAAAAATCTGCATTAAAAAATGTCAAAAAATTACTCATCCTTGGGCGGCACTTGGAAAAAATGCATGAATAAATTCTAAAATAATTACTGTTTTAAATATTACCCTAAAAATAAACACACACAAAGGGACCGAAAGGACAAACTGATGGTAATTACATTTTTAGTGCCGCAGGGGTTTATGGCAATGGCTCAGTTGACTAATTAGCCTCAATTATCTGAAAATACAAAGCCGGGACCACCACACTCGCTCGAGAGTTAATCAAAAACCGAGCAGACTTTTCTAATTATAAAGCTTTTATTTATTTATTAAAAAAAAAAAAAGAATAGCAATTATAAAACTATTTACACGCAGAGACAAAATAAATACCAGAGCCCCCAGAACCACTAAATGGTTTTTCGGAAAAAAGTTTCAAGCTAAAATATGAGCACAGTTTGGCAGACACCTCAAGGACAGTTTTAGGGCCACTGAGCAAGCAAAGGGCAAGTGCAGGTGCCTGAAAGCCCAGTTATATTTAAATAAACAACAAAAAAAAGATAAAAGTTAAGAGAGAGGTTACGCCGAGGGTTCCTTCCAGTAGTTCTTAGTGTACACCGGCACATCCAGCTTCGTGGAGGACTGCAAGGCGGCGTAATCTTCGATGGTGAACTCATTCACATAAATGGCTCCCAGGTGGGTGTCCGCATTCGAGTCCGCCTGTTGCCTCTGGCTCTTTAGCCCGATGTCCTGGACCCTCACGGGCCCGTCGAACTTTACCAGGTAGTACCGCACCTGCCAGCCACCGCCCACGGCCCTGGGATTCTGGGGCAGTTGCAGGTGCCGCTTTAGAGGCAGTTGATCCTCCAGGGGACAGAGGTGGCAGCGTCGCGAAGTCACCACCGGTCCGGCGGGATAGTCGCCGCAGAATATGTCCAGGAACTGATCGTCCTGGCTGTTCCCGTGCAGCGGAGTCACCCGCGCCACCACATCTACGTCAGATTCTCCGCCCTGGTTCTTGAAGGCGTAGGCCAGGAGCAGGACGCCCCGGACGAGCTGAAAGTCCGTGACGAAGAGCCGGAAGGCCCTCTCGTAGTTGATCACGGTTAGGCAGTTTCCGCCGGAGTAGGCCATATCAAAGTTGTGCACCGCGTTCCTGTCCAGCGGCACCGACGGCTGCAGCGACTGGCGGTTCAGGTTGAAGAAGGCGCTGCTCCGGGTCGCCTGGACGCCGCGCTCGAAGGTGGCCTTGCCGGAGCCCACGCAAAAGTCCGTGTAGAAGGGCAGCGACTTGTAGGAGTGAGTGGCTAGAGTGGGCCAGATCCTCGCCCACCAGGCCTCGTTCCTCGCCAGGAAGGCGTCGTTCACCTGGTCGTCGCCCAGGGCGTTCCTGATGTTGTACCCAAAACGGTTGAGAGTCTCGAAGGACCAGGCCGGCGCAAAGATACCCGCCGAGAAGCCGCTCTCGGCGATGAGCTTCATGCTCTCCGGGCTCTGGAATCCGCCCTTGCGACTCCTCCCAAACACGTCCAGTCCCATGAAGATGCGCTTCAGTGACGCCTTCTCCCGCTCCGCTTGCTGGGCACTCCGCCGCAGGTGGCCCTCGTCCCAGGCGTAGTTGATCAGCGTGCCATGGCTGCGCCGGAAGAACTCCACGTTCCGGGGATTCAGTTCGTTCTGCCACCGCAACTTCCCATCCTCCAAGACACTGTCGTACCAGAAGACCCGTCCGTGCGGCACTCGGGACTCCGTTGCGTCGGTCAGTTGCCGCAGAAAGTAGCTAAGATGGCAAAGAAAACACGATATAGGACGGAAACGGAGCTAGCGGTTCTATCATGGCCTCCCATGCCAGCCACCCATAATACCCACAACAGATTCTCCATGTTAGACGCCGGCACATCCACCTCCACGTTAACCAGCCACCCCTCGAAGCCAAAGTGCTGGCACAAACGCGTCAGAGCCTCCACGGTACGGTCCGTACTCGTCCGGGTGGCCAGGACCTCGTCCAGCCGGCCGGCGGCCTCCACAATGAACGTGCCCACAACCGGAACTCCATGGCGGTGGGCGGCGTTTATCCAACCGCAGGGCGGAATGGTCACGTACTCGTGGCTGAAGTAGCAGAAGTAGTCCACGGCCGCCCAGTGCAGGAACCGATAGTCATCGTACTTCTTGGAGCTGTGGAAGTGTCTGTGGGAAGTGTCGTTAGATTAGTTTCAAGCGCATCTGGCGCATTTCCACAACTTGCCGATCCTCCAGATAGTTCCCCATCATGTCGTGGCAGACGAGCAGCTCCCTGTGGTTCTCCTCGGTGACCCTCCTGCGATGGCTGCCCACAAAGTCCACCTGGCGATCAAGGTAGACCGCCTCGGACCGTATCGACTCGTCCAGGGGCTGGACGAAGCGCCGCCAGTCAATGTCCCGACTCCGCACCTGAAACTCCCACAAGTGATGGTTGTCCTTGATGGGCTCCGCTTCCAGTTGGGCTGCGAGTGAGGAGGATATGTAGAGGCGTCGTGGGCCATGCATGTTTTTCAGTTTTGGTCAGAGGCGGATGTGGATGTGGATGTGGACTGGGCGCGCGTTCAGTTTGCAATGAGAAGCGTGGAGGAAGTGCGGAATAACTTATCAAAGCTGCAGCTAATCGGTCAGAAATGGACACAGAGGCTACGCTTTTGCAATCATTCTACAAACAAAAGAACCCCAATGACAGCTTATACTTGGGATATCTTGTTCTAAACATAATATAAACATAGTAGCCCTAACTTGTTCTATCACTTTCAGACAGCAGATCCTAAAAGACATAAGAATCCCCCACTTTCCTGCAGTGTACATCAAGTGCAGTCAATTGTCACTTGTGTCTCCTATCTGCAACCAGATTTCAGGCTTTCCGCTCCCTTTTTCTGCTCAACTAAGCAGAATTTTCGTTTCCGATTTTAAGAGCTGGAAGGATTAAGTTTCTTTTTTGGATACACACCCCCAAAATAATACATGCTATTATAATAGGGCCATTTAAATATTTTTAATAGTTTTTTTTTTGGTTTCACCCAGACATGTGGGAGTGTCGTAATACTTGATTTTACATTAACTTGCACCTGGCGTCCCATGCAAGATCTTATATTACGACGTCTTTTATTGTTTGGATATGTAGCAGGAATCGATCGTCAGCTGGACTCCTCAGTCTTCCCAGTGGTCATCATTCAAGGCTACTGGATACTGGAAACCTTTTCTAATTTTTAGGGTAAGACAGGTTAGCACTGGTTTAGTCTTAAGATAGTTGTATGTACTTACATAATACATGTATTAATGTTATTTGCTTTTAACTGTTCAGTTTTGGATACGATTATGTGTTGTACTTGTTCCATCTATGCATTGTACTTGTTCTAATTATGTATTGTACTTGTTCTTTTATACCTGGATGTAGTCCTTCATCCACAGGACTCGGTCTAATGTAGTTTCTTGAAACGTTTTCTAAATGTATATTTCGGGGAATTTCAGTTCAGTTTCAGGTTCCGGTTTATTTTCATTTCACTTGTACTTACAGCTCATTAATATTATTTTCTGTTCAGTTTTGGATACGATTTTTGGTTGATTATTTATCAAAAATAAGAACCCATTCAGTTTTTGTGTGTTTTTCATCTTTGTGGATTTTCTTGCAGCAGGAGGACCTAGTCCATAGGGGTCCTGGTCCATAGTGCGGCCTCGTGTTATGTAGGTTGCAAGCATGTTTTCTAAATTTATTTTTTTTTTTTAGGAATTTTAGCACTTTTTCACTTTTATTTTTATTTTTACTTACAGCTTACAGGATTATTGTTATGTGTTTGCGAGGTATTTTTGTTGAATATTAAATCCATTTTTATTTAGTTTTTTTTTTTTTGTAGTTTTTTTTTGTTAGTTTTCTAGGTGTTTTTTTACGACCAGTCTGTTGGGGAGTCTGTTTGGGAATGAGGTTTCTGTTTGAGGCACTGCCTTAACTGGTATGACAGCTCGAATCAAAGGCCTACTTTCTCAATCTTTCCCACAACAGCCTACTTGGTTGAAATTTTCTTTAAAATCCCAACAAAATAGGACCGTTTTTCAGCTTAGCCCTGGCTCCATATACCTCCATGTTAATCAAAGTGACCTTTCACCTCCGCTGCAAATGCCAGAGACGGTTGCTCTTAATTTCCGCTTAAATAATGACTGGGTGCTTAATTTTCATTACCCATCTGGGCGGTTAGTTGTGCTCTTCTCAAGGCTTCCCCCAGGAAAATGGGAAAACAAATGACTCCGTTTATCAGAGTCGTAGTTGTAGTTCTAGTCGCAATCGCAATTTAAGAACGTGTTCTCAGTTCCATGGAGGAGCTTCTACAGGAAAGGCCATGTATTTTGGGGAAAATGGGGGTAGAGGGAGGTTTAAGGGAAAACCCCAAACTGTGGACATTTAGATAGCAGTTCGAGTTTTCCATTGCCACAGCAGTTTGTAATTGTGCAGCAGCAGCAATAGAAAATGGACACACGTTTCGTGTTGTGGCTTCAGTTGCACTACAAAAATCCAATAAAAGTCTCGCCACGAAGGTAAAATCAAGGACTTGAGACAAAAACTAACAAAAAGTACCAGAATTCAAGGACAAACATTTAAAATATTAATTTATAATTAAAGTATTTCCAATATTTCCTTTTTATTGAGAAAGTCACTTCTGAAACTCACTTTTTCAAGTGTTTTTTGGCCAAAAGTTTCTTCAACTGTTGAAGCAAATGGCCCAAAAAAGGCCGTTACTGTGTTTGTTTTTGTGGCCAGAATGCACGAGGGCACGCCCTCTTTTCATGCAATTTAGGGCGTAGCTTTAATCTATCACGCCTGCCAGGCCAGGATCTAGGATATAGATTCTGGCCAGAAACCAGGCAGTGCATACGAATTAGCCAAGTTCTGTGGTTAGGCATTGTCAGTCGACTTCTCCAGCCATCGCCATTATTGCACATGGTGGTGGTGGGCAGGGATGTGGATTTGGGAGGAAAGAGGTAGACATTTAAAGGCCTTTAAATAGACACAATTCGGGTATTTGAAAGGTATTTATTTTTATCAGAGGGACAGTGAGTGAGTAATAGCAAAAATAAACTTATAATTAGGTATTTAAAGTATTGAAAAATTAATAAATTAAGCCCTTATCTTGAGTTTCTTCATGCTTCCCCCCCCCATTGCCATTAAAACACACATTCCAGTAAGTGTTCCGACTGATAAGGAGAACGGACCGAACGATGAAGAGAGAGTGTGACTAATATTTGAAAATACATATTTTAATAAAAATGAAGAAATAAACACTCACGGCATCCACAGGTGCTAGCGTCACGGCACTCCTGGTGCTCCTCTGGCCTGCAGGATTCTTCTTCTTGCCCCTCGGGGAGATAGGCCACCACAGCCGGCTTTTCTTCATCTTCCACGAGTGCCTCTTCCAGTTTCCTTTTCTTGAATGGAGTTTCTGCCCCTTCAGGGTTCTCTTCATTATCTAGATCAGTCGCCACCTTATCCATGTTGCACTTGATTTAGTTTTTATTTACTTTAGCTAATTTAAAACAAAATTTAAAACAAACTAAATCCAAAGTTCCGAAAAGCCAATGTTTACACTCCAAAACAAGTTATCGATAAGTGTTAGTAAAGTTGCGGCCACAAGTGTTGTGAAGTTGCCGCGCCACCAGTGCTGAACAATAAACAAAAGAGCGCCAAATTTAAAAGCATAAGTTTAAATTTGAATTTAAATTGAGTATGTTTTGAATAATTGCTTGTTTTTTTTACATTTTCAGCTCTTGGCCTTTTGTTTTTGTCTGTCAAGGTCGGACCACGGATGCGGAATGCGGCCAAGCCATAAATTGTAATTAAACAAGGCCAACTAGAGACAGTGAAGCTAAACTTTTTTGGCCAACGAGCCAAAAACACGACGATTTCTTTTATTTATTGGTAGTGCAGAGGAACAAAATGCCAGCTGGACGAGTGGCTGGCAAAGCCGGCTACTCAAATCACTATTACAATGGTAAAAAAAATAATATATAAATGTTGTTAAAAAGGTGCCACAAAAATTTCACATGAAACCCAACACAAAGTGGAGGCGCTATTTCTATTAAATTTTGTATTTTATCCTTTTCTTAAAGGTCGCTCCTATGTCGGCATCAACGAGGAGATCATGTGGGTGAGTATTGGGATGGGCGTGACCATCGCCCTCCTGATTACGATCGCCCTGTGTTACATAGCCCGAGAGAAGTGCCAGAAACGGCAGCGGGAGTACTACGTGACGGCATAGTTGTTGTATGCGGCCTGCCACACGACGGGAGAGGAGGCAGGGGCATGGACAGGTGCAACGGAGGTCCTGCAGGATAATCTGTTGGACCAGTTAAAGGCGGAGCCCATGAAATCGCACTGCAGCCTGGATATGGAATGGAAATCTGGAGAGGGAGATGGCGGAGGAGAAGGAGGAGGAGGATCAGGATTACTGGAGGTTGGAGCAGCCGAAGGGGCGGAGCTAGAGGCCGAAGCGCAGGGTCCTTGTGCTGAAGGAGGAGACGGACAAGTCACAGTCATGCAGTGGACTGTGGTTGACATTTGCGGTGCCCGCAGCTGGGGCTGACATTTTTCAACTTCTATCACATGAACCACCCAGAAACCACCCACTCTACGAAACAAAAAAGCCAAAGAAAAACCCACAAAACTATTTCGCTGCTCAAAGCATTTCAAAGCGAATCAGTAGATTTTTTTTGTTTTTTTTTTTTTTTGTGTAAGCACATTTAATATAAAATAGAGAATGTTACTTTAAACAACCAACATGTTATGGAATTTGCAAAAATATATAAATATACAATATTAAATACAAAAAAAAATTATGGATAAAAAATTTTATTTCTGGCTATCGATGGGTTGGAGTTCGCTTTGGGATTTAAGTCAGCCCGCAGTTAGCTTTCCTTTCTTGTTGTAACTACATTTTTTCCCTACATATGTATGATGTATGGGCTTTTGCCCCAAGAGTATACGAGACAACAAATGGTATGACTAAGCTTAAAACCAGATCTTCAGATCCTTCAGCGGCATATCTCAAAACGATCTTTGGATACATTTTTTTTTGTAATTTCCCAAATGGACCCTTTTTGAAATAAAGGAGGGAAATGTAGGGGGCTATTCACCCACTAAGATAAGTATGTACATACATATGTTAATTCTTAGAACCATCAGATCCTAAAGCGGAGTACCTTAAACGATTTCTGGAGCGCTTCTCCCCCATTCTGCATCAAAATCCTGAGACGAAATATTTTTCTGATTTTTTGTCCATTTTTCATGATGGAAAAATGGGGTTTTCATTCCCTTGAAAATGGGGTTTTGCGATGGCTATATCTTCCCCAATTGTCATCCGATTCTCAAGCGGAGTACTTTAAACGATTTCTGGTTCGATTCCCCACCATTCTGCATCAAAATCCTGAGACAACATATTTTTCGTGATGGGATCCCTTGAAAATGGGGTTTTCTTCTATAGAGCCCACGGTGATGGCTATATCTTTCCTAATTCTCATCCGATTCTCAAGCGGAGTACCTTAAACGATTTCTAGATCAATTCTCCACCATTCTGCACCAAAATCCTGAGACAAAACATTTTTCGTGATGGGATCCCTTGACAATGGGGTTTGCCTTTATAGGGTCCACAGCGATGGCTATATCATCCCCATTTCTGATCTGATTCTCAAGCGGAGTACCTTAAACGATTTCTAGATCAATTCTCCACCATTCTGCATCAAAATCCTGAGACAACATATTTTTCTGATTTTTTGTCCATTTTTCGTGATGGGATCCCTTGACAATGGGGTTTGCCTTTATAGGGTCCACAGCGATGGCTATATCTTCCCCAATTCTGATCTGATTCTCAAGCGGAGTACCTTAAACGATTTCTGGATTGATTCTCCACCATTTTGCATCAAAATCCTGAGACGAAATATTTTTCTGATTTTTTGTCCATTTTTCGTGATGGGATCCCTTGACAATGGGGTTTGCCCCTATAGGGTCCACAGCGATGGCTATATCTTCCCCAATTAAACGATTTCTAGACCAATTCTCCACCATCCTGCATCAAAATCCTTGGACAAAATATTTTTTAGATTTTTTGTCCATTTTTCGTGATGGGATCCCTTGACAATGGGGTTTGCCCCTATAGGGTCCACAGCGATGGCTATATCTTCCCCAATTCTGATCTGATTCTCAAGCGGAGTACCTTAAACGATTTCTAGATTGATTTTTCACCATTTTGCATCAAAATCCTGAGACAAAATATTTTTCAGATTTTTTGTCCATTTTTCGTGATGGGATCCCTTGACAATGGGGTTTGCCCCTATAGGGTCCACAGCGATGGCTATATCTTCCCCAATTAAACGATTTCTAGACCAATTCTCCACCATCCTGCATCAAAATCCTTGGACAAAATATTTTTTAGATTTTTTGTCCATTTTTCGTTATGGGATCCCATGAAAATGAGGTATTGCCCCTAGGGTCCTCAGTGATGGCTACATCTTCCCCAAGTATAATCTGATTCTCAAGCGGAGTACCATAAACGATTCCTGGATCAATTCTTCACCATTCTGCATCAAAATCCTGAGACAAAATATTTTTCAGATTTTTTGTCCATTTTTCGTTATGGGATCCCATGAAAATGAGGTTTGCATCTATAGGGTCCACAGTGATGGCTATATCTTCCGCAATTTTGATCCAATTCTCAAGCGGAGTACCATTTTGCATCAAAATCCTGAGACAAAAAATTTTTTAGATTTTTTGTCCGTTTTCCGGATCCGTTGAAAATGGAGGTTTCATGGGTTTCTTGGGTCCCGGTACTTCAGGTATTCCTATTGCCCTGGCCGTCTTTTCTTCTTCTTCCTCGTGCTCCATTGGACTGAATATCTAGATTGGTTAAGCTTAGGCTTTTTCTTCCTCCAAACTTGTCATTTTATTTAAAATTCAAAATAAATAGACGAAACCATTAAAATAAACCATAAAATCTTTAGCCTGATTTCAAAAATAGTCCGCGTAAGTAACGGCTCTTGAGCAGTGTTAGGAAGATTTTTATTTTACAATAACACATTGGTGTATTATATATTAAAGGATAAAACAAAAGTGTAATTTTCTTTATAAAAAGCTGTATGAACATTATTTAAAAAAAAAAGATATATTTTATATCGCTTTTATATTTATCTTCAGGCAACACTTATGGGCAGCACTAATGGGCATTACCTCTAAAAGTTTAGACACGAATACTTAATATATATTACCCCTAAGAATAATAAGTAAAAAGATTTATTGTCTTTACTGAATTAACTTATCAATTACATAAAAATAAATATCAAATAATGTTTTTTTTTAAATTGTGTATTATTTTTCAACACTGATGGGCATCACTTATTGGCACATTACAAACAGCTGTTTTCCTGTGACTGTCCAACCGACAAGAAGAAGAGAGCGCGCACGTTTTATTTTATTTACAAAAAATTAATTGCCTTATTTATAAATCAAATGTTCCAAAATGGTGGATAATATAACATTAAACATAAATACAAATACGAAGCCGGCTGTTAAGAAAAAACAGCAGGTAAGTAGGTCAACTCGCCTAAAAATCCAAGTTCATAAAAAATTTCTATCTTTTTAGAATGGACCTGGGATACAAAAACGTGTTGCACCTTCGGGGGTATTTGATTTTCAGTTTAATGTGGACAAGCCCAAAGTCAAGGCGATTGTTTTGAGACGAAAGGCCACTAAACCAGTCACTACTTCTCCATCAGTTCGTCCTCCTGTTGCTCCTTTGGCAGCTCCTCCTGCTGTTCCAACATTAACCGCCAAAACATCTGCCGTAGCTTCCATTTCTGGAGATGATTTTATGCTAAATGTTACCAATCAGCCGCTTATCAAGTCGGCGGCTTCCAAGCCCAAGCCTAAGGTCACCAGGGCCGAGAGATTGGGCCGGAAACAAAAGAATAAGAGCCGTGTTGTGACCAAGCTCAGTGACGAGCAGCTTTCCAAGGCATTGAAGAACCACCGGAAGCCTGTCAACCCCAACCAACTGCCACGAGCTGGAGACCTTTTCAAGCAACAGATGGAGGAGGAGAGACGACGTCAGAAGGGAGAGCCGGAAAGGACAGAAAATGATGGAGATGAACCCAAGGAAACCAAACCAAAATCCACTAAAGAACCGTCTGAAGATGAAGAATCACATTCAGAAACCGAGGAGCAAGCTCCCAAGCCCCCAGCCCCCAAGCAGGAAAATAAAAAATCAGAAATTAATCGCTTTCGTACCAAAAAGATCGGCCTATTCGATCAGAGCGATGTGGAGGCACTGAAGCAACTTGGCCAACGCGCCGTGAAGCCCGTGAAGGAAACCATATTCACAGGCGCCAAGATCGCCACACTGGGCCTGCACCCCCATGCTGTGAAGAACCTGGAGGACTTGCTAAGCATACGGGAACTGACGACAGTCCAGCAGAAGGCCATTCCGCCCATACTCGAACGCAAGGATGTGCTGGTGCGCTCTCAGACGGGCTCCGGTAAGACCCTGGCGTATGCTCTTCCTCTGGTGGAGATCCTGCAGAAGCAGCAGCCTCGCATCCAGCGAAAGGATGGCGTCCTGGCCCTGGTCATTGTTCCCACCCGCGAACTGGTAATGCAGACCTACGAGCTGCTCCAGAAGCTGGTGAAGCCCTACACCTGGATCGTGCCGGGCTCTCTGCTTGGCGGCGAGAGCCGGAAGAGCGAAAAGGCCAGACTGCGCAAGGGCATCAACATCCTGGTGGGCACTCCGGGACGCCTGGTGGACCACCTGCTGCACACGGCCTCTTTCAAGCTGACCCGACTGCAGTTCTTGGTCCTGGACGAGGCTGACCGGCTGCTGGAGCTCGGTTATGAGCGGGATGTGAAGCAACTGGTGGAAGCCATCGACAAGCAGCGCAGCGAAGCTGAGCAGAAGGATCTGCCGCAGCTCCAGAGGCTACTGCTGAGCGCCACTCTGACCTCGCAGGTCCAGCAGCTGGCTGGGCTGACCCTGAAGGATCCCCTCTACATTGACAACAGCGACGAGGCGGCCAGTCTGGCCCTGAAGTCCAAGGACGGCTACCAAAAACAGAGCATCGAGGCGCAGCTGGGCGTGGAGGAGGACGGCCTCGGCGAGTACCAGGAGGATGTGACGGGCGTGCTCAGCATTCCCGAGAATCTTCAGCTCAGCTATGTGGTGGTGCCGCCCAAGCTGCGTCTGGTGGCCCTGTCCTCGCTCCTGGCCAAGGAGGTGGAGGCCAACCCCAAGCAGTTCAAGGCGATTGTCTTCATGAGCACCACGGAGATGGTGAACTTCCATCACGACATGCTTAACGAAGCCCTGACCCGCAGAGTACTGGACGAGGACGACGAGAAGGAGGACGACGACGAGGAGGACGGTGGCGAGGAGCCTCTTCTGCCAGGCCTGCGATTCTTCAAGTAAGCTATCGAGTCATTCCCCTAGAATCCAGTTATTATCCTCTTCCCACAGGCTCCACGGCTCCATGACCCAGACTGAGCGCCAGGGCGTATTCCGGGGATTTCGCGACTGTGCCAGCTGCGTGCTCCTGGCCACCGACGTGGTGGGACGCGGCATCGACGTTCCGGACGTGAAACTGGTGGTGCAGTACACGCCGCCGCAGACCACCGCCGATTTCGTCCACCGCGTCGGACGCACCGCCCGAGCTGGCCGGAAGGGCAGGGCTGTGCTCTTCCTGGCGCCCAGCGAATCGCAGTTCGTGCGGCACCTGGAGAAGAAGCGGATCCGCATCCAGCAGGGCGACATGTACGCATACCTGCAGGCCTTGCTGCCCAAGGATGATGAGGCGAAGACCGTCCAGGAGGCGGCCTCGAATCTGCAGCACAAGTTCCAGTCGCTCCTCGAGGACGATCGCGAGCTGCACGACAAGTCCTGCAAGGGTGAGTATGGGGAATGGGGAGTACTAGGTTCTGCACCAGTTCCCATGGCACTTACTTTTCCAATTGCCCCAACTCCTGGGCTCCAAACAAACTAGCAATTTAATCCTTTCACCAAAAGGACATTAACTTTGTAATTACAATTTTTTCCCCCATTTTTTTTTCCACCCGACGATAAGGGCTAACACTGACAGCAGACAGACACAAACACTCGGCTATTTTTCCAATTATAAGTTGGAAAGCTCGCGCCACGCCCCCATCCTTTTGACCGCCCCCGGCAGGCAGGGCAGCGCGCGTTAAAAACACAAAAATTATTTCATATTTGAAGTTAATTTCGATTGCGTGTCAAATGAATCCTCGGCCGCAGTCCCTGCTGCCCTGCTGCCCAGTTGCCCCGCAGGATCTGCCCCGCAGGAGTCCTCATCCTGCGGTTATCCTGGCCAGCAACTTGCTCGGCGCTCTGATCCTTTTCGCTGTTCGCTTTTCCTTTACTATTTGTATGTTTTTCAAAGCTTCCGAAATGGGGAAGCTATCCCTGGAAAATGTATAGAAAAGGAGTAGCTTAGTGAAGGGAGTTTTAGGGACAATAAAGGATAATAATATTAAGATAATATATCCTTTAAAAAAGTATAGCTTACTATGTTACCTTTAGATGTTTGCGGAATAACACGTATAATTTACAGGATATCCTTACTGCCTTACGCACAATTTCTAGGACTTTTTCAAAGGACCTTCCCGCCCTTTTTTTTAGAATCCCCACCCAATCAATGTTAATGTCCTGTTGAAAGTGTAATTGCAGCGTTGGAAAAGCCGCAAACGACGGAAAAAAGTTAATTAGATGTTACCAAGGGGAGTTCTCCAAAGGATTCAGATTCAGAAGGGAGGTGGCGCGGGGGACCAGACCATGGGAGCCTGAGGTCGATGAGGAAGTTCAAGATGATTCCAATCGAAAGGAGGCTCCAAAAATGAATCATAAATGGGGGAAAAGCACCCGAAAAATAAAACAAACAGTGGGAGGAAGCCCGGTCTCGGCTCGGTCCCGGTCGAAACAGGAAACGGAAACGGAGAGGAATATTCAAAACAATGGGGGAAAAAAATGGGGAAGAAATAAATATGACGAAGGAGCATAAAGGACATAAATGGGGGAATGGCAATGGGCAAATGGCAAATGGAAACGGAGTCGTAGTCGGTCAAAATGGCAACTCAAATTGCACTTAAGCGCCGAGTCAAGCGTCAAGCCGGAAGCGAGACTCCGGAGACGAAGACGGAGACGGAGACTGAGACAGAGACGGCGACTGTTTCAAGTGAGAGAGAGAGAGAGCGAGAGCGAGAGGTCCAGACGAAGGTGGGAGGATGCAGTTGCTCTGCTGCGTCCAATCAAAAAGCCATTAAAAAGTATTACGCTTGAACAAAACTGTACAAAGCAGCAGATAAAAGCTAGAGTCGGAGTCAGAGTCGGAGTCGTAGCTAGAAAGGTTTTGAGACTTGAGACTAAAGGATACACCAGGGGGGGATGTGTCCTGGAAACATCTTCAACTTGCCAGAGTCATAGCCAGTGCCAGTGCCAGAGCCAGTGCATCGGTAATTGAAACAATTTTCAAGTTGAAATTCACTTTTTGTCTGGCAGTTGGCAGTTCAGCTCAGTAGTTTCCCCCTTTCAGTAGTGTGTGCTACAGTGCGTTTCAAAGCCGTAAGACAAAGGACAAAGGTTCCCCCGGGAAGGGATCGGCCAGCCATATATATGTATATCCTCTCTTATTAATGAGCTTGTTTCCAGCCTTGATTTCTTGTCCGAAAAACACACACAAAACAGATGTTCCTCTGTCCAATGGTTAATCCTGTAAGCTGCATAGAATCATTTTGACTTGAGGCACTTTTCACATATTTAATGGCATATTTTAGCCGGCTTATGGCCATTGTTGGCTGGGCTGGCACTGGCAGTCCTCCCCCGATTAGCCGCAGTGGGTATCAAATGAGGAAACCCTTCGGACTAACCGCAAGCCCGCAAAAAAAAACAAGAAAGGAAAGCTAACTTCGGGCGGAGCCGAAGTTTATATACCCTTGCAGTTAAAACCGGATATATATCGCAAACATCGGATATAGTTGGCCGATCCTTATCTGAATAGGAATATATAATCCAATTTATTACAATACAAAATTTAAAAAAAGTCCCAAACTTCTATCTTCAAAAATACGAAAGTTGATATTTCTACCAAATACCATTTACGATCGTTCAGTTATATGGCAGCTATGAGATATAGTCGGCCGATCCTAATGAAATTTGGTAGGTTGGATCAACTAACCAAAAATAGAGTCTGTACTAAATTCCAGCTTTCTATCTTCAAAAACACGAAAGTTGGGTCATTTCCGATCGTTGAGTTATATGGCAGCTATAGGATATAGTCGGCCGATCCTTATGAAATTTGGCATGTCGTATTATTTTGCCAAAAATAGCTCTCATGTCAAATTTGAACTCTCTAACTCTAAAAACACCAAAGTTATACCATTTCCGATCAATCAGTTATATGGCAGCTATAGGATATAGTCGGCCGATCCCGGCCGTTCCGACTTATATACTGCGTGCAAAGGAAAGAAGGGTGTGTGCAAAGTTTCAAGACGATAGCTTTAAAACTGAGAGACTAGTTTGCGTAGAAACAGACAGACGGACAGACGGACAGACGGACAGACGGACAGACGGACATGCTCATATCAACTCAGGAGGTGATCCTGATCAAGAATATATATACTTTATAGGGTCGGAGATGTCTCCTTCACTGCGTTGCACACTTTTGGACAAAATTATAATACCCTCTGCAAGGGTATAAAAAAGAAAGGATCTTTAGGGGGTGGGAAACCAAAACCAAAACCAAAACCCAAGCCAAAACCAAAACCAAAACTGAAACTGAGACAAAGGCAAAAACAATCACAACAATTTGCCACGCCTACACACGCCGCTCTAACCGCAAGGACACGCGCCCGAAGAGTCCTGCCACCCAGTCAGAAGCCTCCCCTGGCGAATAGAGACAATGGAGCTGCAGGGCAAGTGGCATAAAAAGCCATTTTGTGAGGCTTCTGCCAAAGGACTCCCCATCCTTGGCATGACATTTATTTTATTCGCCACTTCCGGCTGGCAGACGTCTCTAAACATCCGCTGCCGTCATACTTTTGTTTGGCTAATGTCTGCCACTTGGCTGTAATCGCATTTGCGGCAATTAAGCCACAAGACCCAAAGGATGCCCGGCTTCCAATCCCCATTCTCCATCTCCAGATTCAGATTCAGATCCAGAGTTGACTTTGAGACTTTTTGAAAAAAAGGAAGACCCTGGCCGTTAATTGCCGGGGAAGGAACGTCTTTGCATAGATCTCTGTCACTGTTTCTCTGTTTCTCTCGGGGATGTGTCCGGGCCTGTCCTGTCTGGCAGTCAATTAGGAGGTCCTGCCAAAGGAAATGCCGCTAATTTATCAACCCGAAATGCATAAACTAAGGTGAGATCGGAGAAGGAGAGAACCTCAAAACACGTTCCCGTTCTATAGTTTTGTCGATTGAAGATAAAACCCGTAACAGTCCTGCGGTTGGAATATGGTAAACCTGTTGGAGATACAATTGTTACCCTGCCCTCCAATGGCATCTGTCGGATTCGATGAGGATGCTCCGATGCTCGGATACATTGCATTTTTCAACTTGAACTTCACATCAAATTTACATACAGGGATCGCTCTGTCTTTGTCCCCGCCCCTGTGTCTGTCTCTTTCTATACATTTTGTGTCTGCGGCCGGGAGGGAGATGCTTATCGCGGGGGGTGGTGGTCCGGAGGAGGGGTTACAATTGCGGTCTTTGTTGCCACGAAGAGTGGCAGGCACGTTGGTAATTTGATATCATTGTTGTATAATTTGGAATTGCCTGGCATAAGTGCTGCGTAATTAGCAAGGACATGCCCACAATACACACACACATTTACAATACACACAAACAATAGACCCAGAGTAGACGTGGTCCTGAAATCCTTTGCTGACACTGCTCATTTGTCATTTTAACAAATTTATTTTGTAATGAATGCCGCACACAACACTCACATGCACTCGCAGCACTTAAGCCAAGACATCAATTAATTCTAAAAGCATTAGCATTAACATGTCCCCCCCCCTCCCCCTCTCTTCTCTTTTTGTACAGCCTTTGTGTCCTGGATGAAGTTCTACTCGACGTTTCCCAAGGAACTGAAGCCCATCTTCAACGTTCGCATCGCTCACATGGGCCACTTCGCCAAGAGCTTTGCCCTCAAGGAGGCGCCCACCAAGTTCGCCGCCAAGCATGCCGCCCCCAAGGCAGCCCCGCCCACCAACCGACTCACCTATACGGAGCGGTAAGTCAAAGGATTTAGTGTGGTTTCAATTCGCTCTATTAAAACGCGTTCCTCCTTTTCTTCTAGCGATCCGGAGAAGATCCAGGCCCAGAAGAAGGCGAAACGCCGCATGTTCACGACGACAGTCAGCGGGGAGGTGCGGCAGCTGCAGCAGCGGGAAGGACCACCTGGCCCCGAAGGCCGGAAGGGCGGAGGAGCTGGCGGAGCTCCCGGAGCACCTGGAGGAGGTGGAGCCGGACCTGTGGGCCGCAGCAGCTTCATGAAGAGCCTGAGCAAATCGCGAGCCCTGAACATGTCCGAGTTCGATAGCGGCCTGCCGGCGGCGGGTCCTGCCAAGCGAAGGAAGACTTAGGAAGCTGGAGGAGGCGCAGAGGAGCGAGGAGGAGTGCTGCTGGGGATCCGGACTCCCCGGATGGCAATGCTCCGGGCATTTTGCGGCGTTTTATGCGCGCCATTTTGCCCGGCCAGTTGGCAGCTGCCTGCTCAAGCATTTAATCGAAAAGAAAATTGCTCCGTCGCTGTAGGACGCTGATATCCCCTGTACATATATATATATATATATCAAATATATCCATCTCTATGTGTATAAATGGATGTGGCCAATGTAGCCAAGGAGATGGCCGAGATGCGCTCATAAAAGTTTCATTTTTCTCAACTTTTAAGCCCGGACGTCCTGCGGGAAAAGTTGAGAAGCTGCCTGACAGCATATTTTAAGATCCTTTTTTTTTGTTTTTTGTATTTTTTGTTTGATTACCCGCCGTAATATTCTTATGCTTTTTTCCTTCTTTTCGTGGATAAATATTAGAAATCCATTTTCCGCTCTCTGCAGATTCATTCAGTTTTGAAAATATCAAGGGTTCCACGGGGTCAGGGGTCAGGCAGGGGGTGCGGTGCGGTGCGGCACGTGTTGCCCGCGTGGAGCTGCCTCGCTTTTTGCCTTTTAATTCAACTGAAGCGCATAATTCGTTGGACAAGGCATAAATAAATATCAAATATATATATGTATATAACCGATTTGTTTTCCATTTCGACGGCTTTCATGCTTCTATTTGGCCAAGGACACGTGGCCAGGAATCGGACACTGGGGGGGTATTATGGCCCCTTAATTGCGGCCCTCTCAAATGGGAATGAAGTGGCCCTAATTAGCCGCCCAGCGATTGATTTTTAATTAGGCCATTCGACCACGCCCCCCCGGACACGCCTACTCCAGCCCACTCCACTAGATCGTCCTGTCACTCAAAGTCAAAGGCAATCAGGCATGAATAGGAACCGAATCGAAGGATAAGTCGATTCCTAATTACGTGCGAGTGTCAACATATGAAATAATATTTTGGTATAAATGCGACCATTAAAAGGAAACCCCCCCAAACGAGTCCTTTTTTATGGGGTGGACACTGGACTTCCAGGAACCGCTGTCAGCCTAAAAGGATATCTTTGATGTGTTAGTGGCCGTCTTATGAGGCTAACGAGTTGGGTTATTAAACAACACTTACTTTGGTAACTTACTTACAATATAAAAGAAAGTTTTTTGAGTTTGAAAAATAAAAGTTATCGAATTTTTTGAAATTTCTAGAAATATTTTGGGTTTTTAGGGACCTTTCTTTAATAAGGTTCAAAGTAATAAGCCTTTAAAATAACTGTTAATAATTTAAAACTAATTAAACTACTAAGATTTTTGGGTCGAAAAAACTAAATATTGAATAAAGATTTGAATAACGCCAAAGTTGATCGATTTTAATTGATTTTAAAGTAATATCTAGTATGTTTTAAAATTCCTAGTAATTTTTGGTACTTTTTGGGACCTTTTTTTAATGAGTTTTAAACTAATAAGCATTTTATATGGCTTTGAATATTTTAAAGCAAATGATACTAAGGATTTTGGGGTTGAAAAAAGTAAATATTGAATAAAGATCTCAATTGAAGAAATAGTTTATGGTTTTTTATTGATTTTTAGAAAAGGGGTTTTAATTTTTTATTTTAAAGAAATACCTAGTATGTTTTGGTATTTTAACTTTAAATTTATACAGTACTGCATTTAAAAAATGTCTAAAATAATTTAAACAACTTTCATTAACCTTATTAAATTGCATACTATATACATATATTATCCTTTCAGAAAAGAAACTGATTTGTGTCTTATAAAACCCAATCGATTTCAAAAAACTCTCCACTAAAGTGCAGTATTTTTTCAGACTCCTAACCTATAATTCAAATCAATTCATGTTCTATCTTTACAATAGATTCACTTATCTATAAAAGTATGTTTTAGTATTTTACCTTTAAGTTCATCCAGTGCTGCTTTTAAAATATATCTGAAATGATTTAAAAATATTTAATTAACCTTATTAAATTGTATATTATATACTATATCCTGTTAGAAAAGATATTATAATAGTTAATCGATTTCAATAAACTCTCCACTAAAGTGCAGTATTTTTTCAGACTCCTAACCTATAATTCAAATCAATTCATGTTCTATCTTTACAATAGATTCACTTATCTATAAAATTATTAAAAAAAACCCGAAAAGGAAATAAATCTAAAACATCAAAATGATTTATTTATATAGGCATCCAAACATAAAACATAAAATCTCATATAAATCAAATAGAACTTCAGAGGACAACCAACATCTGTTGGAAATCCGCCCACAAGCCAAATTGTGATTGATTTAAGCTCTACGAGTAGTCCTGCCCATGGAGCAATCTAATTGGATCAACTGCCGCCGCAAGGAGCCGGGAGAAAGTGGCTCGTTACCCACCCAGAGCCAGAGCTAGAGCTAGAGCCAGAGCCAGAGCCAGGACGGAGCAACCACCAAAGGGTTGGCCCGTGGAAAATTGCTAATGTGATTGCACTAATGGCTCGAATTATAGACGCATTAGGGTAAATTAAAATCCTCCACTCCACTGGCACTGGCACTGGCACTGGGGCGGCAGTGTCCTGGGCAGGACAACGTATCGACTTTTTGGGGTTGTAATAAAGTTGTAGTGCCTCGTTGTGTGGCACTAACAATGCCATTGTTGGCCAGTCAGGTGCAAATGTTGCATGTTTTTTTTTCTCTCACTTCCCTCCCCCAACCCCCTCTTAGTGTCCTTTTTTTTATTGAAATCAAAGGGTCCACTGTAGGGGGGTGGGGGGACGAATGGACTACGACCCAAAACAGCTGTCAACATTTTTTCAAAAAAGGAAAACCCGTTGACAATTGGGTGGAGCTTTCCACGAGGGGCAGGTGGCTGGTGGCTGGGTGGAAGGTGGCAACATGGCAAGGGGCAAGTCCTGGTAAGTGACAATTATGTGGGCTAGTTGTCGGTTTGTTACTCCAAAGTATTGGTTTCGTTACGCGATTGGTTGGCCACCAAATGGTTTCCTTCTCAGCCACCTAAACGTGGGTGTCCTCCTCATATCCTGTGGGGCCCCATGACCACTCACCACCTCTCTGCCTTTTTTCGCTCCCATCTTACGCATCCTCCAGCCAGTGCCTTTCGTCGCCTCGCGTTAAAATCCAATTAATTTCAACGCTCAGCCGGTGGGGGGATGGGGGGGTATTTAGTCCGATCCCGGAGGATCATCTGTCAGAGAGTCGTATATCCCATCTCTGACCTTCTAGTGTGGGGCGGCAACTACAGCCTAACCCATAGAAAGAAATACGAATACCTTAATTGTTTGCATTTGTGTTGCAATTTAGCTGAAATCACGCCTCTTGGCCAAATTGTCTTTAAATTGGCAGTTGCCCAGTGAGCCATAAATCCAAACAGCACCACAATATGTCTGTCTCCTTCTTGTGGTCTTGGCCTTTTTATAGCCGTCTCTGTCGGAATCTTTGGGTATATTCTTACCTTTTCTTTAAAGGGGGTATATAGGGTTAAATATCTAAAACAGAGCTATGAGTAGAAATTCCATTTTTTAAAAAGACTTTTATATTTTATAACATTTTTTTATCGAAATAATATATTATCTATATAGCTTTGATATTAAAATCTGATGGATATCTTCAAGTTTCAACAAACCACTGAGCTTTCCGTTTTTGATCAGCGGAAGTATCGCTTGAGGAGCTCTCGATCCTCGCCTCCGAAGTGCCTCCTCCTAACCCGAGAGCTTCGAAAGTCACCCGTGGGGCATCGTTGGCGGTCAGAGGAGAACCAGGGAACTGGGAGTCCAAAGAGAGATCCCTGGGATGGGATGGCGGCGATCGCAAATTATCAACAAATTAGACTTTTCGTCGAAGCCGAGCGAGCGCTAAGTTGAAGCTAAAGTTGCCTCGAGTTGGAGCCGAGATCATTTCGTTTGATTTGATTTCATTTGTTTGCATGTCTTGTTGTCATTTCAGTTTTTTTTTTTTAGTTTTTTTAGGGGTCTCCAAGTCAAGTTTGGGAATCGGGATTCGCGATCCTCGCTCCACGATTCGCGTTTCGGGACAGCGTTTTATGGGACGCCGCTGGTAAAGTGATTTCTTCAACGCTTTGTTAGCGCACCGGATTGATGCGGCTGTCATTAGCCGATTTCGTTTCGTTTTCGGCCTAAACGGGTCTACCTCCAGAGGTCTACCAAGATGCTAAATGCGTTTTTAACGTGCTTTTAATTGTCAGTTCGCAGTTGGTAGTTGGTAGTTCTCAGTTCTCAGTTCCCCCCACACCATCCCATCCTGCCGCACTCTGGCGGGCAAATTAAATCAAATTGAAACTAATTAACATAAATAAATTTACACAAAATCCAATCGCAATATGCCTCGTTACAGGCTTCACACTTTCCGCTTCACTGTCCTCCACAATCCACCCCCTCTCGCGGTGTGGCATGGGGCTAGGACTACCAGGACTACCAGGACCACCGGGACCATCAGGACCCTGCCTGGTGTGACATTTACAAGCGACAACTGTCAAATTGGACAAGTTGCATTTGCAAATAAATAGACGGCAACTCGCTCAAACGGAAACGGAAACTGACGAGCCACGAATCCCAGAAATTTTCCACCAAAAAGGGGAAGGGGAAGAGGGTTGATGGTTGGGCTAGGTGGGTGGGGGTCAGTGGTGCGCTGGGTTAGCTCTGCTTCGACGCTTGCGCTTAAAGTTTTTAGGCGCTATGGATAAATTAATTGGATTTGCCTGTGGTTGCTCCTGTTTGGCAGCTTCTACAGTGGGTATTGGCCAGAAAGGATATTGCAGAATAGACTTTCATAGTCTAGAATCTATATCTAGGGTAGATCTAAAAGTAGTCCTTCTAAGACCCATCTTAAGGTCTAATAACTTCTTAGTTTCTGACCATTTCCTAGACCCTAAAAGTCCCTTCTCAGCTCAGAATGACCACGCGGCGTATGCGCAATGTAACCTGGCCCAAACTCCCCTCCCCCTTCCAAAAAAAAGGAGGACCAGACCCTTTGGTTATTTACTGCTTTATTTGCGGTCTTGTCAAAGCAATCAACACAGTCAGAGCGTGTCCTTTTGCCGGCTTCACCTCCTCCTCCTCCTCCTCCTGCTCCTGCTCTGCCCACCATGCCACACCATTCAAGTGGCAAGGTGGTGGATTTTATTTACTTGTCTGCCCGAGGACTACTGGCTACTGGCTACGGGATCCGGGTTTATTTGTAGAATGATTTTTCAATAATTTATGTATGACGCTGTCGACAGACGGGTGGGTGGGTTGGATGGATGGAGTCCCGGGATGGGTGTGGAATCGGGCTGTGGGGAGGGAGGGGTTGGCACTTGATTTAATGTGCGGGGTGTTACTTTCAACACCCTCCAATCACAATAATAACAGCAGGAGCAAGTCAGCCTGCCAGCCAGCCAGCCAGCCAGCCAGCCTGCTTCTGGCCAGGATCAGAAACAGAAACAGAAGAGGCAACTGAATCTGCAACTACTACTATTGACTGACGTTGTGACAATGCAATTATAAATGGTGACAAAATAATTTCCGCTGCGTGATTTTTATGACAGTTGTTCAACCGTACGGGTGGCATTCGCCTTCTGCTCCACTGAACAGGGAGTGCAGACTGCTTGCTGGCTGCCGAATTAAATCGAAATTAAATAGTCGAACAGACAGGAATTTGTTCAGTCGCCTTCTTGGCTTCTGGCTCTGGCTCTGGCTCTCTCTCTTCATTTCAAATGCCGATTTAATGACCATAATTGGTTAGGATGTGGTCAGGGCATAATTTTGGCTCATCATTCGCTCGGTTTCCTGTCCAGTCCTGGACTCTATCCTGTCCTGTAGTGGCTCCTGCCTGTGTGGGTGCTATTGCCCCACAGCTCCTTGCTGCGGAATCGCATATGAAATCATAATTTCAAGGGATCGCTTCGCGAATTCGTAAAAGCTTGTCATTTGTGGCACGCAATCGAATTGCGTTATAATTGGAAATTGCAAATTGCCATGAAATGGTAAAATCATAAGCGCCAAACAGTAATATTCCTATACATACTTTATATGGAATTATCCTTGAAGCT